GGTAATATAATGTTATTTCTGAATTTGGACAGAGAAATTTACAGGACACTCCTAGGGCCTGCTTTCTAAAATGGTTGAAGGCCCCTTGGTACAATGTTTAATAAAGAATGTAATGATTTTATTTTATGTTACACATTTTAAATTAGATTCAAAAAAGTATTCGACGAAAACACAACGCAGAGTTCAATTTTCAAAAATGTGGCCGTTCCAATACTAGACAAGTAAATATTATTTTTCTGTGTAACTATATTGTAGATATTAGGCAGTTGATATAGTGGAAATCAAGGATGAGTGTCTTCTCTACTCTGTTCAGCGATAGAACACGACAATTCTGATCACTCCCACGTCCCCCTGCTAACAATTCTGGTAAAGCTGCTATATCGTTTGTGATTCCTAAACAAGTTATTTCGTGGGAATCCTATTTGCATGTTTAAAGTAAGAAACATTAATGAGGGTTGCCAAATACAACACAGGACATTAAATTATATTATAGATTCGCAGTTGATGATTAGTTGAGATAATCTTCGAAGCTGACGGTGACACGTCAATGTACCATAATATTCATATAATATTTAATAGTTATCTGGTATCTTATTTATTTATAATTATTATTTGTTAATTTTCAGTAATTCAACTGGTAGATTAACCATTAACCGCTGTAGAAAAATAACTGAAAAGTATCAAAAACGTGAATTATTTTGTAATACTGTTAGATGTAGTACCAAAACTCTGTTAATTAAATTTACCTTGTATCTAATTTATATAGGTATATAAATATGAAATTAATTTTTCACTAACGGTTATTCTCAGAAACTACTGAACCAATTTCAATTATTTTAATAGATTTCTTTAGAATCTTAGATTAATATTTGTTTCTAATATTATATGGTTGCCATCTCCAGTTCTCAACATCAATTATTTTTAAATAAAAACTATTTTAAGTGTGCGGACACTGATGTATTAAATATAAAAAATGATATAAAATTTACCGGTTTCTTATCTAATTTAAATTATAAAAAATGTATCCATATACTTACATAACTTGTAAATTCAATTCACTAAAATTGATTCTGATAAAAATATGTAATTTCAGGTTTTTATCTGGTATGAACGGCACGATATTTACATACGGACAGGTGATAATTAATTTTTGTTTGTTTTTTTAAATAATTTTTATCAGCACATACTCGTAATTACTAACTGGTTAAATTTTATAGACTGGAAGTGGTAAAACTCATACTATGTATGGCACAACATTGGACAGAGGTATTATCCCTCGTTCTTTCGAATACATCTTCGAAAATTCAAACAGTA